GTCCTGTGGGTAGCATATTTCTGGTCGTTTTAGCTTGATTTATGAGTGACAATCTTCATCTGTTGCAGAATCGTATTCACATTTCCTTCATTTACATTCAGTGAAGATATTTTTGAATTGAAATTTGGAGGAGGTTAGGAGAACCTAATTTTTAAGCAACGATGCTCTTATTCTCCACGGGCACCCGTTGTTATGGTTTAAACATATCACATGCAACTTTGTTAGTTTTGACTCAACAATAAAATAATTCTGATGTATTCTCATTACATGTTGTTTTAAGGCATTTTTAACTTCATCTTTTGAGTCAAATAACAAACACACATGTAACGCATCTCCAATAACCCATGAATTATCTTCACTAATTTCTTCAACTTCAATTTCTTGGTCTAGGTGGTCCCAATTAATAGATTTGTAATGTGGACTTACATTCCAAAAAGGTATTTCACCTACAACTACATTTAAACAGACAATATTCATCATTTACAACAAATAAACAATTTAATCAATATACTTTTTAAATGTTACCTCCAACATTTTCTTGTTGTAAATTTAAGTTTGAATCAAAATCACCACCAATGTTTGTATCTGACGAGCTGTCTAACAGAATATGTCCTTCATCAATATCATCTGTCTCATCATCACTATTGACTTCATCATCTTCATCTTCATAACTGCATAAATCTCTACATCCTTCAAAATACAAACACTTTTTCAATATGTATTGTCACTAAAAAAAATTTAAAAATAAATTACAACAATATAATTTATACCTTCTGTAACATTTATATTGACAATTTTCATAGAGTTAGGCAGTGACATTGATAAGCTTAAGTCCAACATATTCGACCCACCTCTTGAACTCTCACCAAATACAATATCCACGTATAATTCAATAAGAGTTGTAATATATTGTTGTTGATACACACTAATCATACAATCAATGTCTTCATCATCACATATATCCAATGCATTGTATTGTTTAACGCTTGAATCAACCATAAAACGAGAAATTATTCTAGATATGACATGATTATTATTAAGATTCAACTTGTCATGAATCTTTTTCTTTAAATTCATATAAATTATCTCTCTTCTTATCTTTATCATTTTTTTTTACCTTCAAATGTCACACCTTCGTTTCCAACAACAATTTTTTTATTCCAATACACAATAATAATAATCTCATTCATCCTGCATTTATAAAAAAAACATATCAATAATTATTTACAATTATACTTATTTATATAAATAATGTAAATAAATTATTTGTAACACAAACATATTTTTATTTTTCACATTATTTTATATTATATAAAATGTAATATTTTTAATACATATTCCACATATATAAAACAAAATATTCACAACAACTCTAACATTATTTTTTTAATTAAACAAGTTTATATTAAATATCTATAAACTTTTAAATTTTTTATTAATTATGTAAAATGTTATTTTTTAATTTCAATCTACACAAAAATATATTTATTAAATATTCATAAATTTTAACTATTTCTAATTAAATAATTAAAACTTTTTAATAACATAAACATTAGAAAAAATTCCAAATATTACTAACCTCAAAAACCTTCCCAATCTTCAAACGTATAGTTTCCTTGCACTTTCAATGTGATTTCAAATGTGCACTTTCACCGTGATTTTCAATGTCCCACTTCACACTTTATATAGTAACATTTAGCTAGATAAAAGGGTGTAGCTGCAAGGGAGGGATTAGTGGGTAAAAAGAAATGAAATGCTTTTTGTCTGAATTATAGATGAAATGAAATGTTTTTCGTCTGAATTATAGATGAATTAGGGATCCTTTTCATCTCATTTATAAACGAAATAATTAGATTCAACCACGTATCGAGATCCTATGATTTTATCCTAAATTGAGATGAATTACTAGTATCTTGATACTTATTCATCGTTTCGCTTCTCATATATACGAAATGCATGACAGATGTCAATATTTACCATATTTCATCCCTCTTTTAGACGAAATGAATAAATTTAAAATAAAAAAAATAATTTCATCTGATTGATATACGAAATCACAGCTGACGTGACAAAAACAAATCTCAGACACGGAATAAATTTTAATTTTATTTTAATTGGATAATTATTTTTTTAAAATGTATTATTTTAATCTTTAAGCCGTAAAATTCATTTTTGTTCTTATGCTTGCTAAATATTTAAATATTCAGCATTAACACTCTCTTGTGTTGATAATTTATTACCAAAATTATATTTTTTATAAACTACTAAAATATATAAATATTACCATAAAATAAAGGGTATTCATCAAATACATATAAAAATGTACAGAATTATAAACAAACCCATTCATCTGGTCAATCATAACACAATAATATCCTTAATTATAAAATTATTTACTTAAACCTTTATTTATAATCACATATATTATTAAAAATAATATTAAATGATTAAAATTGAAATATGAAGCCGTGATATTTTAAGTAATTATATAAATATTTTTTTTTAAAATTTTAATAATTTATATGTAGTTATATAGTCAGAATTTGTTTTTTACACATCTTATTATACAGAGGTCCTCTTACTTAAATCTAAATTTGTCAAATAAGTATTTATTCTATTTATTAATATATATATTTTTTTGCGAGTGTCTAATAATGACCAAATATAATCCTTGGCAATCAACTGAGTCTCAACTCCAATTTGAAATTTCTAAGTCACGAATGCAGAAGAATGGAGGTGTAAAACATAAATCTAATAATAGCTCCAATAACCTAAGTTCAATAAAGAAGGAAAAAAAAATAGTAAGAATTGATTTTAAATATCTAAAAAGTGTCAACTTTTATTGAGAAAATTTATAATATTTAAAAATAAAAAACACTTTTTATAATATTTTTAAGCCGTTTTAAACACTAATCTTCTTTCCTTAATTTTGCAGGAACACATTTGATCATATGAAATGAAAAGTAGCCAACATAATATCTTTTTTGATAATGTAGGGATAAACAAATTTTTAAATAAAAATTTTAATTAAATATTTGTTTAATAAAAATATATCATAGAGAATTTCATCTTATAAATTATTTAAAATACCTTTATTTGATTAGCTGTACTATATCGTCTGTTGAAATAAGTCAAAGAGGACCATCAACTACTTTTAAAAGCTTTATTAATCAAATACATGCCATTTCAATTGAAGTGTTTATGTAATAACAGAAGTTTAAATAAGTTTTATAAAGTTCTTTTAAACGTTAGTTAATTACTATTTAGTGTAATCTATTTTAAAATAATCAATACAATGTTCAATGGAACATTGCAGGATGACATGATTAAGTATTTCAAGATATAAGAGTGTAATTTAGTAAAATTATTGTATTTATTAAATTATTATTCTTTTAAACTATTAAGTTATTTTTACTTTTTTTAACTCCTGAAAAAATAATTTAAACGACAATCAATTTAAAATGGAGAGCGTAATACAAAGGAAGTTAAATGCATTGGTTTTTTGGGTCTATCTACGGAAGGAAAAGTGAAAACTAGGCACGAAGTGGTGACAATGAAATAAAAATTTATTGGAAGAAGAAGGCTCAAAATATTGATTTCACCAAAAGATACATTAATTTGGTTCTGTTTGCTTAGTAGTTTTTAGACTGTTTCTAGGCTATGTGACGGCAGACCCTAACTGGGCCTATATAAGTTCGCTTTCAAGGCTTTGAATATTTTGATAAAAAAAAAAAAAGGGATTTGAATTGGACTAAAAAACAAAACGTTTTGAATAAATATTTATTAATTCGTCGACACAACAAAAAATACAATATTTATTTCGTACCATACATGACATATTTCTTAAGGATTTGTTTTGTTTTATTTTAATTTATACATTCATTAATGATTCGTATTTTATGAAAAGTTATTTACTGATATATATGTCCAAATTTAATTTTTAGTATTAACGAATTTTGAGTCATATTAATATATTTTACGTTTAATAATTATTGCGCAAGTCTCAAAAGAGAAGCGTGTAACAGTTAATTAATTTTAAAAGTAATCATATCATCAATAAATTGTCGTTATTTAAAAATATATTAAAAAATTTATAAATATATATTAATGAATAATATATTTTTAAATATGAAAAAATATTAAATTTTGAATAATATATCTATAAATGTCTAAATTATATAAAAGTTGATATACATGATAATAAAGATGATATAGGTTGATTTAATGATTAGATTAATTAATCTTTCATCTTATAAAAATTTGATAAGAATATATATATATATATATAATTTTATTATACTTTATATATTTTATTTAGTATTTTTATTTCAATTGCATAAATAAAAATGATAAATTTTCATATTTTTATTAATTATTAAATAAAAATTTAGAATAAAATATTTAATTTAAATAATTAAAAATTAAATATATGGAATTGAAATTTAAAAAACAAAAAAATAAAAATAAAAATCAAAAGTGCAAATTAAGTTTTATTAGTTTTGGTGCAACCAAATTGTTGCACAATCTAAAGTAATATAGCTGGATGGAGTTTGTCCCAAACTTTTCAACGGACCACAAACGACACACTGGTACCTTTCTTTCTTGGTCAAACAATAACATAACGCACTTCTCCGATGCAAATATATTAGAGCGTGGTCATTCTTATAAAATCTTTTTACTTATTTTATTATAAAAAAGTTAAAATATTAATTCGTTTAACAAGTAGAAGAGTTAACAAGAGAATATTAAAGATTTATTTATAATGTTGTTTCGTGAAATTAACTTTTGGAATAATCAGCATTTGTGATTTCATAAGAGAAAACAAGGACAGTAAATTCTCAAGCTACCATGGCTTTGACTTGATAAAAAAGACAAGTTTAAGAGAGAAGCCAGACTGTGAATAAAAATGTTAAAGTAAATTTATCACTGTAATTTTATTGTTTAAAAGTAAGAAAAAATATTATAAAAAAAAGAAAGTCTTAAATTTAAACATTGGCCTGGCAGACTCAAGTAAGAGCATAAGCCTCCTCTTCGGGCAATCTCAAATCCAGACACTAACCTGGTCAGTCTCAATGACCAAATTACCCTCGTTTCCAGCTCCATTTTAACGTCAAAATCCCCCGCACCGTGTCCTTTCTCGTCCATTTTGCAGCGAAGGAATAACCATGGACGGTGGCGGCGGAAACAGAGCCGAAGCGGAGCGGTGGCTCTACACGGCCAACAAACTACTAAGCGCGCGCGACCTGCACGGGGCTCGCTCCTTTGCGATCCGCGCCCGCGAGTCCGACCCGACTTTTGAAGCGTCGGAACTCCTCCTGACGGTGATCGACACACTCCTCGCCGGCGAGTCGCGGATCAACGACCACCACCGCGACTGGTACGGGATCCTCCAAATTCTCCGCTACACGACCAACATCGACCACATCGCCGCCCAGTACCGCCGCCTCGCCCTTCTCCTTGAACCTCACCGGAACCCCTTCGCTTTCGCCAGTCACGCTTTCTCCCTAGTTCACGACGCTTGGTCCATCCTCTCTAACCCTGCCAAAAAGGCCTTGTACGACAGCGACCTCCGATTGCTCACTACGCCGACCCCGGCGCCCCAGCCTCCTCCGCAGCCACAGCAGCATCCTCATCCGCAGTCCCAGTCCACGCCGAGGAGAAACCCTAGATCGCGGGACGGCGCGGCTGAGGACCGGTCTGCTCCCGAGTCCACCGAGTCAACTCGGCAAACTCGAACGGCGAGTGTGGAAACGGAGGGCGACACGAGCTTCTGGACCTCTTGCCCTTACTGTTACGTTCTCTACGAGTATCCGAAGGGGTACGAAGAGTGTACCCTGCGATGCCAGAGCTGCCGTAGGGGTTTCCATGCGGTGGTGATACGGTCGCCACCAGCGTTGACCGGTAAAGATGGATCCTATTGCAGTTGGGGCTTTGTCCCCTTAGGGTTTTCTGAAAATTCAAAAGATGTGAATGGGTTTTCCACCAATTGGAACCCATTTTCACCTTTGTTTCCTTGCCCCTTGAAAGGATCGTCTGATAGGAAACCTCAGAGGAATTGGGATTACTACGATGACGAGGCTGCGGCAGCATTTATTCAGCTTTCTGACCCTAGTGATGATGATTCTGGTGATGGGGATTGGAGGAGTGGTAGTGGGAGGGGGAGGGGGAGGAAGAGGACTAGGACGTATAGGAAGAAAATTTCTGGTGATGTTAGAAGGGAACCTGTGGAGAGACCTAGCAGGGGTGCTCGTGCCGGGCACGAGAATGGAGGTCCTAGTGAGGCTGTTGATGCTGCTGCAAATACTGGCTCTGCTGTTCCATCTGTTCCAAGGGCAGAGTCTAGTAAGAAAGCTGCATTGGGTAGTTCTAGGAGAAGGGGTGCTGGAAACTTGGGGAAGTTGGATTTGAATGTGGAGTTTAGTAATGAGGTGGAAGAGCCTTCTCGCATAGCGCGTGATCGTGAAGGGAATGCCACTGGAAATGCTGAGGATAATATTGAAGGGATTGGGTTTTTTGAGGGTCTTGATGAGTTTCTTAGTAGCTTACCCATTCTCAATGTTGTGGGAGACGATAAGGTTAAGGGTCATTAGTCTTGTAAATGCCTTTTTTACTGGTTGCTGTAGAATTTAGATGCGGTTACTTGTATGCTTGACTGCTTGTACTTGTCGCACAAAAAGGACGGTGAGCTATTGTGAATTCTTGTCATTGTTAAATTATAATAATAATTTGCGGCAATATACTGTAATTTTGGACTATATGAGGAAAATTACTTCATTTTGCATAGATTGTCATTGTACGATTGAGGAAGAATATATGTACATAGATATATATTGCTGATATGTTTTAATCAACTCACACACGCTCACTAATGAAGCATGAGAGAGCTTACTTTGGACTTTTACTTTGTCCTTAACTCCAGACAGTATGCATGACAATCCAGATACATAAGCATAGGTATTATCTGTTGGTGCCCTAACCAGTTTTTTGGTGATTATCTTGTTTATTAAACATTTTTTAACGTATGCTAGTGTTTTATTGTTGAAATTTTGTTTGTTTTGGTTTTAGTGCTGTTGTTTTCTTCTGGGGCTTTGTGTGGCTTTGCTTTCTAGTTTTGTAAGGAAAATTGTTTTCAGACGAATATGTTACCATTTGTCAGTTGCATCTTGTAGTTTAACGTGTTCAAATACTGGAGTTTAAGTTGAAGTCAACATGTGTTAGGTCACATTGCATATGTGTAGTATTCGTTCCCTTTCATCACATTCTTATTATAGTCTGTTTGATCCAGGCTCAAAAAATCATCAAATGTTTTTTCGAAAGGCAATTTCTGGGTTGTGGTGATTCCTTTAGGTCTTTGGCACTTGTTAACCAACTACTCAAGTTTCATCACTTATGATGATTTAAAGAAGAAACATGCTTTTGTATGGATTTTCCACCTGCCTCTGCATTTTCAAAGTTCTAACTAACTGGTATTTGCTTGAGTACAATATGGTATTTGTGTTTACCTGTAATTGTTGAGTTTCCACTAGCGTATCTTGCCTTTTCAAATTGTAGGTATTTGTATTTTTACCTTTCAAATTATATACCTTTCAGTATGCTGAATGCTTATATATCATAAAAATACCAGCAATTAGTTTGGCTCTTTAATTTATTCTGTATATGATCTTACAAATTTTAGTCATTTGCTTTGTTTTGCCAAGAAGGTAGTTTGGAAATCTGAATGTGACTTCTCTTGCAAAAACAAAGTTGTTTTTCTTCCTAGAAATAAGTCGTAATGTAATGCTTCATGATTGTTTTGGTTACCTAAGTAATGGTTGTCTTTGATCCAAGAGCATTTGTTGACAGCATTAAACAGGTGATTAAACTTTCTAACCACAGATTTCTGAAGATACTTAGCTGTAATTAACTTGGTTAATGGTGTGTACTTGTAGTTGGACATCATATTTGTTGCAAATTGCCATTGAATTTACGGCGCTAACCAAGTCGCCATTGATTGAATATAAAATAACTTTTGCAATAGACATTAAAATACTGCTTGTAGGAGATGTATGAATACCAAATGGCATAACTCACTATACTTTCCATTTAAATCTGATTGCCGATCTGAAGACAGCAACTTTCTTTGTCTCCTCCTACTCGATTGTTAAAAATAGAATAATTGTGTTCCCAGGAAAGTGACTGGCTTCTTACCTACACTCCCAATCCCAATCCCAGTAGAGCATTTGGTTGTTAAGAGAGTTTGAAATTTTTGTATTTTTTTTTTCTGGAAAAAAAGACAAAAAATGGACAGTTTGAATGAATGGGCCTTTGAGTACAATCTTCTTCTGTAGAAAGGACGATTTTATTTTTTATTTTGTTTCTACACCTCCATCTTATTATCTGGAAATATATAAAATATACTCTTTAAGAAATTAAAATTTGAAAATAATTTATAAATTATCGTTCTGTAATTTAACGGGTCTTATGAACCTCCAAAAAAGATATTGGGTTTTAAATTATTTTGTTTGTAAAGTAGATTTTTTTAATTGTATTTATTATATGTTTAGAAAATTTTAAGAAGTCACATTTAGAATCAATTTCATTCCAGGCTAAAGGAAAAATATGTTTTAGTTCTGTGAGAACAAATTATTGCCCTCTTATTTCTATTGGAATTAAATATTCTTGTCCACATAATTGGTCAAATTAAACTGTTAGCATAAAAACAATTGGTCATGTTAAACAACAACAATATATGTATTAACTAATTAAATGTTAAACGAAATTAGGAAAATTTAATTAAACTCGACTCAATTAATTTTATGTTTGATCAATCTTATTTTGAATAAACAATTTTTTTTATCAATTTATGTTTGATCAATCTTATTTTTGTTTTCTAATATGATTATTTTCCAAATATACTTGAATCTAACTAATCAATCCGATGCCCAAAAGTAGGCAAATTCTTGTGACATAGAAATTAGAACAGAGGACCAATCAATTATAATTTAGAAATTAGAACTTGCTACAAAAGATGGAAACTTCTGAATAAAAACTTATTAAGAACTAACGATTATACAACTAAATTTTAGGATTCTTAATAATTTAGTGTTTTTTCTAAAATATATTAATAGTTATAACTTCAAATTTGATAGTACATTTCTAAATGTGTAGTGTGTTAATATATTTCTTTAAAATAATGTGTTTTTTATAATGAAAAAAAAATATTTTTAAAGCTATAACTTACTAATTCACTTTTCAAAAATTAGTAAAAATATGTTAAGAACCTTTGAATCTAACAACTTACATATTCAAATTTAACAGTGGATATATTTAAGATGACATACAATTACAATTAACACACTAAATATTTAAAAAAGTGGGCGTTTTGCCCCGTTGTTAATAATTTTTTTTAAAGTAATATTTATGTTCTCAATAATTTATTCTAATGCGAAACTATTTTATGCTTTAAAAGCCCCACAATCCACAGAAGGCAAAAGAAAAATGGTATCAAAATATGAAGATTCGACCATCGTGGAATCACGGCGAGGTGGTGGTGGCACTGGATTAGGGGCAAAAGAATATTATATTAAGAAAATATAATTTTTGAGATTTAAAACTTTTGTTTCTCCGAGTTTGTCGGAGACTCTTGTCTTTTATGATCTAACTTCTAACTAACTTTGTTACCTCTTAAAAACTGCACCTAGTCACCCAACCATGGCTGTTTCATTCAATTTCTAGCAAAACCCATTTGAGTTTGAGCTCTATAATGACACTTTCTGCGCCAATCAGGTTTTCAGTAGACCCCTTTACTTCCAAGTCTCTACTTTCACCTTCCACCAGTGGAGATACTGCACGGAGGGCATCAAGGGTATTCTATTATTATCTCTTCTCCTTTCTCTTGAGATGAAATTTGGTTAGTATTATCTGAACGTAACACTTCTGTGGCAGATCTTTGGTCGTACCCTGTTAACAGGGAAAATAAAGCATAACTATGTGAAATTGTTGACTGATTTAAGGTGAGTGACCGAATTTCTTTGCTTTTCTTATTCACTAATGCTGGATTCGCTTACTTGGCTTGTCAAGTGTAAATTTTTATTTCGAATGAGCAGTCCTAACTAGTATTTATCTGTTTCTTAATTGGTGGGTAGAGGATTGGGGTAATTGTCTAAAAACGTTATTCTTTAATTAGGAAGGAAAATAATTAGTGGAGGACTTGTTAAATCTACTTTCATTTGTAAATCTTGATTTACACTTCCCATCCACCAAAAACAAAATAAAAAATGAATATGTTATGAAGTTTGGATTTCTCTTATATTTTGCTTGATTGCAATAACTCAATTGGAAATCATGTGTTTTGATCTCTAGCTGAGCTGATATGGGTTGCAATTCTTCATGCTTGATCATCTTTTCTTATTTGATAACCCAAATTTTAATCCCTATTTTGTAATTGAGACTAATATTTTGTGTAGTTAGTATGTACAGCTATGCTTTTATTTTTTGTAATCTTTATGCGTCGTAATTTTAAAATATGGCCACATTCAGAATTTGTAGCTAGCCTTCATAAGGGAGAACAATTAGCTGAATTGTTCTGCTGTAGTGAAATCCATTGCACCCTCCTTCTTCGGAAACTCCATGTTTAACTACAAAGCATGAATATGTCAAAGGACATGGATATGATTCAACATGAATACAGGGTACAACAAATTTAGAAATTATAGTACATGACAGCTGTAGTACAACTGTACAAGATATAAATTCGTCTAAATTTAGCATAAAAGCACAAGTCTTTATCCTTTAATTTAAGGAGAGAATCAGTGTCTAAAGGTTAGCACTAATTAATAAATACAACCATTTATTTAATTTATTATTTTATTTTTCATTTGTATTTGTATTGTTTTGAAGTGTCTATATTTCCTAAATGTACATTACTCTAATGTTTGCACTTTGCAGGAGTAGTGAAAGGTTCACTTTAAATATGGGGAATCCAAGATTTAAGCAGCAACTTAACAAGACTAAGCTAGAGATTGTAACTGATGCTGAAAATGAGTGTGATATATTTAATGATTTGAAGGACAGGTTTTTAAGTTTTAAGAAGAATAAGTTCAAGTAAGTTTCAGCCTGTTCAAAAATGTTCTTTTCTGATACCTTGAAATGGAAGAAACTCATTTTGTCTTGGTTCTGTTTTCTTCTAGGGAAAGCATAGAACAATTCCAAAAGCTTGCCAGGGTCAAGCACCAAAGGTAATTGTTCCACTTTGGTTATTCATTCATTTATGAATTTTTAATTCCTTTTATTACATTCCTTCAATTTGTCTTCTAAAGCATTAGCATAGAATTGTATTCCTGACTAACACACAGTTCAAAGAACAGTTCATAGTTATTGCTTGTGCAGATTCAAGGGTTTGCCCCTCTTATATTTTGGGATTTCAGCCAGGAGAAGCATTCATGATTCGCAATGTTGCCAATTTGGTTCCTTCTTTTGAGGTACGTGTCACACTACAAGTAATATATTTAGTTTTCCACCTCTGACAATTTGGCATTGTTGCTAAAGTATGAATGTGAGAGATTCAGTGCTTGCCCCTTCTAATTCATTTTCATGATACAGAGTAACAGAAAAAAGTTGAAATATTTGACAGAGACAAAATGGTATAAATTTCTGTGTGTATTCAATTGTCAATGATTACATATTTATATGCTGTACAAAAGAGAAAGAATGGCCTGAAACCTAGGAAGGTATAAGAAGGAATCAAATAACAGAAAAGCATATTCCTGTACTGATATGGACATGT